CGAAAGGGGCCCGTTCGGCGACGGGGCCCGCATACAATGTTGCCAGGGAGCGTCTCATGGATTCGACCAGCGAAAGCATCTTCACGCAGTTTGAATTTCGGACAAGGAAAGTTCGCCGTCGGTCGCACACGTGCCTTCGAAGAATCAGAACTGGGCGGGATCGCAATTTCGACTTTGGGGCCGACTGCTTTCGATATCAAATCGAAACTGTGATTTCGAGGGGGCCCCAAGCGAAAACCATACTTTCGACTTTTCGGGCTACCTGATCTGAAATTTTCAAAGCCAAAGGGATTGCCCGAGTCGAAACAACGATTCCGCCTGAGACTTCCCCGAAACAAACGTTTTAACCGAAACCTGAATTTTCGGGTTCGAAGTCGGCATGGTATTTCCGCACCACACTTCCTCCAAAACACAAGTAGAAACGAATTTGGCTCAAAGCCGACATGGCGATTCCGCATAGGGCTTCCTCCAGGTCTCCATTCGAGGCTTCGACGGGTGCGAAGCCGAAGTGGGGGCGCCCTGCTGCTCGCAGGCATCCGGCCCCCTGCCCACTATTGGAGCCTTCGTTCGGCACTGTCCTCGGCGGAGCCACGCGGTGGGCCAACACTTTCGCGGCGGCGATGCCTCGGAGACCATCTCAGGGGAGCCTCGAGGCCGTCTTGGGGGCGGCACGGGGTCCCCTGGGCGCTGCCTCGGGGACGTCCCAGAGGCCCCGTCGGGGCCGCGCTGGGTCCTCTTGGGGGACTGCTGTGCGCACCTGGAGCCTCTCCTCCTCCGCCTCCTCCTCCTCCTCCTCCTCCTTCTCCTCCTCCTCCTCCCCTCCTCCTCCTCCTCCTCCTCCTCCTCTCCTCCTCCTCCTCCTCCTCCTCCTCCTCCCCCCTCCTCCCTCCTCCTCCTCCTCCTCATCCTCCTCCCTCCTCCTCCTCCTCCTCCTCCTCCTCCTCCTCCTCTCGGGGCGGCTCTCGAGCGGGGGGTCCTCGCGGATAGGGAGACCAACAACGAACCGCTGCTTCCGTGCTGGTGATTCGCCGGCCCATCGGACCAGCAGCGCGCTGGCCCTGGGCTGGGACGGAACCGAGAACAGCGCCCCCTCTTCTTTGAGGGGGCCTGAGGGATCGCCAGCCTGGTACATGTGTCGTGGGGCTCTCTTGGGGTATCTGGGGGGCGCTCCCGGGCCCTCGTGGTCGCGTCAAGAGGCCACCACGACGGGCCAAGAGGCCAGCACAACGGGCCAAGAGGCCTCGAAGAAGCCCCGACAACCTCAAAAGCGTCGCCAATGCGCCCGAAATGTGAGGCTACGACCCCCCAAGAGGCCTCCAAGAGACCCTAAGACTCCCGTGAAGGCGATCGGAAGCTCGTGGGCTGGCCAAGCGCGCTTGAAAAACCTGTTTTTCTGTGATGTTACCCGTCTCGCTTTTGCGAGCTCCACCAAAGGGGGGCGTCGATCCTAGATGCCGAGACCACGCAACACCAAGTCCCCACCACATCCGACTGGTAAGGAGGCTTTGAGAGGACGGGGTTCTAGAGCATTAGGCCAGCCGCCCTGATGCAACGGAGATCCGACCCATCAAACTCACGACCGCAAAAAGCACGTGGCTCGAACAAGGAGGGCACCGATTCAAAATAGCGACACGGTGCAGCAGCAAGCAATCACACCATCACACCAATGTTCCGAGATTGAGGGGACGGGCATCGAGGGCATCAAATCGGCCGCACTCATGGACTTGAAACCCTTCCGTTCAAACCAACGGCTCAGAAAGAGCACGCGACACGAACAACGAGTGCACCACCTCAAGATACAACGAGAGTGCGCGAAATGGGGCTGCAGCAGAGGAGGTCGGAGGATCGCGCCGCGTCGCGGATGCATCGCCGCTGCATCGGTGACGTCGGCATGGCCAGGAGGGCCACGGGCGAGGCACGCGAAAACCCTCCGGCGTGCCTCGCTCTGGGTCTTGTGACTGGCTCGGGGGCGGTCTTGGGACTGCCTGGGGCCGTCCTGGGGCTGTGCCGGAGGCCTGGAAGAATCTTGGAGGCACACTGGGTCCTCTTGGGGCCCCCCGTGCGCTGCTTGCGCCTTCCCGGGGCCACCCGGAGCCGAAGAGTGGTGGATGCCAGATGCACGAAACTACAACAAGCTTGACGACTCTTGCCTCTCGGAGCCCCCAGCCCGGAGCCATCTTCGGGCCTCTTCGGGCGAGACGTTAAGCACGTCTTGTCCTGGGGCCCTCTTGAGCCCCTCTTGGGACCATGTTGAAACCATCTTGGGGCGCTCTTGACCCGGCCCAGCATGGAAACGGAAAGAGCTACGCGGTAACTTGCCCGAGAGGTCCCATGGCACCGTCCGTTCTTGGGAGCCTTGGTGTTGAGAGCATGCCATCGTTCGTACTGGGATCCTTGGCATTTGCTTTGGAGAGCCTTGGCGTTCAAATGTCGGTACGTCACAGTTCGCTCTTGAGAGCCTCGGCGCTAAGAGCTTGCTGAACCACCAGGAACTCTTGGGAGCTTTGGCGTCACATGCTTTGGACGTCACTGGGAGCTCCTGGAACCCTTGGCGTTCAAAACTTTGCACGTCACCGACTCACCTACAAGTTGGTGTACCTCTCCCTGGAGCTCTTGGGAGCCTTTGCGTCAACTCTGAGTCCGTGGCTGGGTCGTTCGGGGACAAGAGCCGCATCAAGGCTGTGTCCGTCCTGGGCCGTCTCTGGGCCCTCCTGCTGCCGAGAAGCTGTTGGAGGAAACTTGGGGGCCCGTAGCGGCGTTTTGGGCCGTCTTGGGGGCCGTCTTGGGGGCCGTCTTGGGGGCCTCTTGGGGGCCTCTGGGGGGCCTCTGGGGCCGTCTAGGGGCCTCTTTGGCCATCTTGGGGCACTCCTGGGCCGTCTTGGAAGCATCTGGAGCCGTGTTGGGTGCCTCTTGGGTCGTCAAGGGCCCTTCTTGGACGCCCCTTCGGGGCCCTCCTGGCTGTCTTGGGGTCCTCTTGGGTTGTTTTGGCGCCCTCGCTGGCCGTCTTTAGGCCGTCTTGGCGCCCTCTTCGGCCGTCTTGGGGTCCATTGGGGGGCCCCTTGAGCCGTCGTGGGCGACCGGAAGCCTGAAACAACGAACACGTCCAAGACGATCAGAACCGAAGACAAACTAGCACTCGCTCTCTCTTCAGGCCCTCTGCGAGCGCTTCTTGGAGCCCCGTTGGGCCGTCTCGGGGGCCTCTTGAGCCGCCCCTGAAGTCATTGTCGGCCCTCGTGGAGCGCTCTTAGACCGCGCAGCAGGGGCCCTCTTTGACCTCGCTTCTCCCTTGGGCTGTCTTCGAGGTATCTGCAACTGTCTTGACGTTGCCGTCTCGGGGCCATCTTGGGCCGTCTTGGCGCCGCCGTGGGGCATTCTTGGACCGCCTTCGGGCGACCCGAAATGCCCCCTGGGGCCGTCTTGAGCGGTCGGGAATCTGAAAACGAGGACGCCTAACATCTGAAAAAGCAACGGAACATCAACATACGTTACACCTCTTGGGGGTCCTCTGAAGGCCCTATTAGGCCGTCTTGGGGGCCTCTGCGGCAGTCTTGGGGCTTCTTGGGCAGTCTTGCAGTCTTGGAGCCCTCCTGGGCCCTCTTGGGCCGCCTTGGGGGACTCGTGGGCCGTCTTGTGGCCCTCTCAGGCCGTCTTGGGGGGCCGTCTTGGGCCATTTTGCGGCGACCTGGTGGACCTTTGGGCCGTCCTGCGCCGTCGGAAGCCCTCAAAGCGAGAGCCCGGAAATCAGTCAAAACCCTTAGGATACTCAATGCTTGTATTGCCCCCTCAGGCCCTCTTGTGGTCATCTCGGGGCGTCTTGGTGGCCTCTTGGGCCATCTTCAAATAATATTGGGCCGTTTTTGACACATCCTGGGCCCTCTTGAGGCCTTTTTTTGTGCTTTGCGCCAGCGCTGGACACGTCAAAAGGCAGCATGCAAAAACTCTCCTCGCGTCCTCCGCGCTACCTCCACAAATCTCGAATCTAATAACCCGAACTATCTAATCAAGGCCAGGTCCGAAGCAGATGCGTCAGCTCAAAAGGCAGTATACAAAATAACGTCAGGCGAGAGACTCCATGCAACAACACATCAGGCAAGAGATCCCTCTGCGGTCGAGGCACTGCTGCTCTGGCGCGCGCCCTGCTTCAGGCGCAGCTGCTGCGTGCACTCAACCGCGGGCGTGCTTATGTCGCTGTGGTCATCTTCGCCTAGCAGGCCTCCGACAGCAAACCCCGCCCGTGCTAAATGCTTTACGTACACGTTCAAATACGACAAACCAGTGTCAGTATGCCCGCGAACGATCTTTAGCTCGACCTTGTCAAAGGCAATCCACTCGGGTACATCGATCTCGCTCTGCGATGCACTGTAATGATACCCTCCGGCTTGTTTCGCCTCGGCCCACGATCCAGTCACGTTAACTTCGAGGAAGTACATGTCCGCGCATTGATGACCCATTCGGCGCGCATCGGCCTGCACGCGAAGCAATGCTTTTTCAGTGCGCTCCCCACGAGGGATGTTGATCAGAACATGTTTGCCTGGCATCATCAAATCAAACCGCTCGCCATGTACATTTTGCATATGCGGATCGCCCACGGCCGAAATCTGGGGCGGCGCTGGTGCTGGCGTCGGTGCCGGCGTTGGTGCTGGCGTTGGTGCTGGCGTCGGGTCCAGCGTCGGCGCAAGCGTCGGGAAGGGCGTGGGGTCGTCGGCGCAGCACACCACACCGGTAACGCCGCTGGTAGTGATGGTACACCCTGGATTTCCGACATCAATACGGCCGCCCTGCATGCAGCTCGTCGCGGAGGCTGAGTTTGCCCCTGACCCCATGCCGGCCAAGTCTGGGTCGGTACCTCCTGAGACCGAGCACACGAAGACACCGTTGACACTCTGGGAGGCACTGCTGCACCCATTTCGTACAGCACGTCGCAAAGCATGCTCCACAATCGTGATTGGAATCGTAAGCAAACCTGCCGCTGAAAGCCAAGGCATCGGTCGTCTGTATGTTCATGTCCCAAACGTCTTGGCCAGTGCACACGTGCCAACCAGCAGCACAGCCTGGCGCTGACGCAACGTGGTAGCCATAAACAGCGGAGCTACAAGCAGCGATGTTTGGAAATGCTGCCAAATCCGTGAACCCCTCACGCGTGACATCTGCGCAACCGGTTGCGCTACTGTTGACGGCTGCACGGGCGGCCGTTGGCTTCGCATCGCCAACGCCGAGCTGAAAGGCCTCGCCGCGGGCGAAGATGAAGAAGAGCACTGAACTGCGTGACGCCATCATGTCTGCGCAGACGCTGCGGCTCTGCAGTGAAGTGAAAGTTCGGAGGATAAAAGGAGCGTTTGTATGCGCACGGACGCAAGCTGCCAGGCCCTCTTGAAGCCCTCTCGGCACTCTCCGGGGTATGTTCGGCCGTTTTCGAAGCCTTTTGGGCCGTCTTGGGGTCCTATTTGCCGCAATTGACTACCACTTTGGCTACTATTTTTTGGTGGGGGCGCGTGTTAACGCCAAAGTGTCCCCGCCCCACCTCTTCTATGGAACCCCGCCCAAGAAAGCTAGTAGCCCCACCAGAACGTCGTCGCTCGTACCTCGCTCTTTCTGCCACCTCATGAGGGGACACGGGGCAATGTACGCAAGAATGCTTCGCGCACTGTGCTGAGGGGCCTGATTACCCAGACCCCCGACGTCATGATTTGTTCATGACGTCGACCCCCCGAGGTCTCGACCCATTCCCCGGGACCGGTTTTTCGTCCTGAGTCGTTTTTTGACGGTCCCGAGGGCCGGCAAGGGCCCCCAAAGGTCAAAAATAGTGAAAAACCTCCCGTCGTGATTTTTTCATAACTCGAGGGGGCCTGGTCAACCGCTGAGAAAATTTGGCCACCATTCCACTCTTCTCGTTTCGCGGCGGGGCCCCAGTACAGTGTTGTCATCGGGGGACAGTTCGAAAGGGGCCCGGACGGCGACGGGGCCCGCACACAATGTTGCCAGGGAGCGTCTCATGGATTCGACAAGCGAAAGCATCTTCACGCAGTTTGAATTTTTGAACACAGGAAAGTTCGCCGTCGGTCGCACACGTGCCTTCGAAGAATCTGAAACTTTAAAAGCCAAAGGGATTGCCCGAGTCGAAACAACGATTCCGCCTGAGACTTCCCCGAAACAAACGTTTTAACCGAAACCTGAATTTTCGGGTTCGGAGTCGACATGGTATTTCCGCACCACACTTCCTCCAAAACACAAGTAGAAACGAATTTGGCTCAAAGTCGACATGGCGATTCTGCATAGGGCTTCCTCCAGATCTCCATTCGAGGCTTCGTCGGGTTCGAAGCCGAAGTGGGGGCGCCCTGCTGCTCGCAGGCATCTGGCCCCCTGCCCACTATTGGAGCCTTCGTTCGGCACTGTCCTCGGTGGAGCCACGAGGTGGGCCAACACTTTCGCGGCGGCGATGCCTTGGAGACCATCTCAGGGGAGCCTCGAGGCCGTCTTGGGGGCGGCACGGGGTCCCCTGGGCGCTGCCTCGGGGACGTCCCAGAGGCCCCGTCGGGGCCGCGCTGGGTCCTCTTGGGGGACTGCTGTGCGCACCTGGAGCCTCTCCTCCTCCGCCTCCTCCTCCTCCTCCTCCTCCTCCTCCCCAATCCTCCACCTCCACCTCCTCTCCTCCCCCTCCTCCTCCTCCTCCTCCTCCTCCTCCTCCTCCTCCTCCTCCTCCTCCTCCTCCCCTCCTCCTCCTCCTCCTCCTCCTCCCTCCCCCTCCCCTCCTCCTACTCCTCCTCCTCCGCTCCTCCTCCTCCTCCTCCTCCTCTCTCTCCTCCTCCTCCGCCTCCTCCTTCCCCTCCTCCTCCTCCTCCTCCTCCTCCTCTCCTTCCTCCTCCTCTTTTCCTCCTCCTCTTTTTCCTCCTACTCCTCCTCCTCCTCCTCCTCCTCCTCGAGGAGGAGAAGAGGTGAGGAGAGAAGGAGGAGAGAGGAGGAGGAGGAGGAGGAGGAGGAGGAGGAGGAGGCGGAGGAGGAGGAGGCGGAGGCGGAGCGGAGGCGGAGGCGGAGGCGGAGGCGGAGGAGGAGGAGGAGGAGGAGGAGGACAATCGGGGGGTCGAGGCGCCGAGCCAAACTGGACCCCCGCCGGCGGCAGGAGACCCGAGAGGCAGAACTAAAATATAGAAAGGAGACCATGGTACACGTGCACGGGGGTCGCGTGCAAGGGGTCGCGTGCACGTGCGGAGGAGGAGGACGAGGAGGAGAAGGAGGAGGAGGAGGAGGAGGAGCAGGAGGGCAGGAGGAGCAGGAGAGGAGAGCGGAGGAGGAGGAGAGGAGAGGAGGGCGAGGATGAGGAGGAGGATGAGGAGTAGGAGGAGGAGGAGGAGGGGGAGGGAGAGGAGGAGGAGGGAGGAGGAAAGGAGGAAGGAGGAGTGAGGGGAGGAGGGAGGAGGAGGAGGGGAGGAGGAGGAGGAGGAGGAGGAGGAGGACGAGGAGGAGGCGCAGGAAGAGGAGGAGGAGGAGGAAAAGGAGGGGGAGGAGATGGAGGAAGAGATCCGGAGCCATTTTGGCTCAAATCCGTGGCGGTTTGCTCAGGACCTGAGAAAAGGCACTGGGGGTCAGCGGCCCCACCGGCATTCGGTGTAACGTTTTGCGGTTGCAACCCGCATTCCTTTGCGCACAATTACGTTCATCCGATATGCGTTTGCTGCCGCCTCGCGCGGGACCCCTAAGCAGGGATGGGGGACTTCACCAGCGTGGCAGTGCAGGAACAAGAAATGCCAGTACAGGTGCACATTCGCTTTGCGCGAGGAATGCAGGATGTGTGGCAAGGCGGCAGGGGCGAGGCCCAGGATCATCCCGATGGGGCGCGACCACGGTGAATGGAACAAGGGCCCACCTGCAGCCAAGAAGCTCAACTTCCTGCCCGAGGGCCGGCTCTTGGTCCACGCCGAGATGTCTGAGGAGGACTTCAGGGAGGTCAGCTCCGAGCGGCGAGGATCGTGGCGCAGCGTGATCGACTGCGCGGAGAGCCAAGCGCCGCAGCAACATCGGCCAAGATCGAGCAGGACCTCTTGGCCGACAGGCGCGACAAAGCCCAGAGGGCCTCTGACGAGGCGCAGCAGGCGGCACTCGCGGCGCGCGCCCACGCGGCGGAGTGCAAGGCGGAGCTGGCCCAGGCGCAGGCTGCTCACCAGGAGGCGGCGGCCAAGGCGGCCGACGCCTACTCTGCCGTGGCGGCGAAGGGGAACCCCGCGCACCAGCTCGAGGGGCTCGTCGCGGCGTTCGGGCAGGATCGGCGCGCGCAGCAAGTTGCTCAAGGTCTTGCTACTCTGGTTCAGCCTATTCGCGATGCCACGCCGAAGCCAGAAGCCGACGTCGCCGCGGGCGCAGGCGGCGGCGAAGGGGCGGAAGCAGGCGGCGCGGGAGGGGGCGGCGCCGACGCTGAGCAGCGCGCCGCCGCAGCCGCACCAGCTCAGCAGCAGTCTGCCCAGCAGCGCCCCCAGGGGGGGGGCAGCAGCGCGAGGCCCAGTGAGAGGCCGCCGCCACTGCAGCCAAACAGAGGGCCAACGCAGCCTGTGCGGAGCTCACCGCTTGGTTGGCCACAGCCCAGACAGTTGATGAGTCCATCGCTGCCCTGATTGAGAAACACGGTGTCAAGCGCGAGCGCGCGCAGGACATCTTTGGACAGGTGCACGGCGCGGCCGCCAAGAAGTTCAAAGAGTCTGGAGACTATAACCCTCGTCAAAATTAACCTCAAAAATGTCTTACGTGGCTGAACTGTTTGTGGGGAGATACTGGACAAAGTAGCGGTGACTTCGAGGTACTTGAATGCGCCGCCCCTCCGACGTCGGTCACCATCGAACTTCCGAGTCGTTCCTGGTCAGACCACTTTTGCCCCGGCCCCGACATTGGAGGGGCGTCTATCGACATTGAAGGGCGCGCCGACATCGCAGGGGCGCGGTCGCCATTTGTGAGGTTAATTTTGACGAGGGTAGTAGTCTGCGCTTTGACGCCCTATGGTCCATAGTATCGAACAACGTGGCAGGCCTTGTCGGTTTGGAAACGCTGCTTCGGAGTGACCGAAGTCAAGTCGATCAAAGCGGCGGCAGTGCAGGAGCATCGCCTTCTGCAGCCCCAGGCTCATGATTGGGAAAGCAAGCTGTCCAAGATAGGATGGAGAGCTAGCTTCGAAGCCGTTGTTGATACGGGCCAAGGAGGCTCGAGTGGAGGGCCCATTCAAATGGTTCCTCGTAAAGGTGGCTTGCCAGAGGTTGAGCGCATATCGCGCTCGCTGGTGCCAGGAAGGGCTTCGGTGTTACACTCGACAGGCATCGTTGAGGTCGGCCTTCTGTGGGTCAGTGCCTGCCTACACAGCAGTGAAGGACGTTCGCCCAGGAGCTGGAGTATACTCGCCACGATTGGAGACGCGGTCAAGCTCGCAAGTTTGTCCCTGTCGCTTCGGGAGAATTCGATCTCTCTCCGGCAGAGTTGGACGAATCAGGTTGGCCCCAGGCGCTGGGCGCCTCTATATTGGCCCCCACGTTGCTGACATGTGCGAAGTCTGCCGAGATCAAGGTACGCGCCAGCAATCTCTTTGTCGTTTCCGACGCTCGCATGCATGGTGCCGAGCTAGAAGTGCTGACAGATGTGGCCACGACGCCGCACTCTCCTGTGCGACTCGCACTTCAGGCGCAGACGTTCTGCTCCATGCCGCATCCAGCTGTTCGTGTGCCACGTCGCTTTCATGCTGATCTGCCCATTGGTTGCCTGCGCAATGATCTGTGCCACGCTGGGGCCACTATCGCAACGTCGTCGAGAACGCTGGATTGGATGTGGACACGCACTGGAGGTTGTGGCTTCAGACCGCCGAGCTCGACCTCGCGGGCGCCCGCGACATGCCGCAGCAGGACTCGCCCGAGTACTTGGGCAGAGCTGAGGGCCCTGTCGTCTGCGTTAAGTCGCCGCCGAAGCCGCCGTCCGCGTGGTTTCCCAGGATTCCCCCCGAGGCCACGCGGTGGCGGCTCCTGGCCAGGCGCCTCGCTGGATCGGGGTCTGCGCAACCTGTCCCCGAGCGTGCGCTCTGCGCGTTGCTGGGCGCCTCGGGCCCATGTCCCAGGTCAGTGAGGCTCCTGGGGCCGATGCTTCTCCGCGGCCATCGTTGCTCTCGCTGGCGCGCGAGGTGCCTCGTGGACTTGCTGAGGTTGCTTCGTCCGCCGCTGGCAGCATAGCCAAGCGGGTTTTAAAGCAGGCTGAACCTGTCAAGCTCAGTGGGTGGCGTCAGTGGTGCGCCACGCACACTTGTGACGGGAGCGCGACCCTCTTCTCCTACACTAAGCCTGCTCAGCCTTGGGTGGCCAACTCCGTCGTCCAAGTGAACGGCGCCAAGCGTCCTGCTACCGCAGCGGAGGGGATGAAACTTCTCGAGGCCGACTGGGCGGGTTGGTGGCAGGTGAGGGCGTCGTCCGATTCCATCTCCTGGCCCCCTGACATGGGGCCAGACTTCTCGCGCAATTGAAAGCTTGCACGCGTATTTGTCCAACACGGTCTTGGTGCGGTTTTGATTCTCTCTGCCCTCGGCAGCTTGTGCATTTGTCGGACGGAGCCCTGCTGGCTCTCATCGACCCCCCGGGGGGCGACGGACACGCGCTGCTCTTGGCCGTGGCTTTGGACCAAGGTTCTTTCTCAGCGAGCGGCAAGGAGGCTTTGGGCCGATAGCCCTCGTTCACATTCTGGCCAGAATTCCAGGGCGCCTCAGACGCCCCATCATCAAGAGATGGCGGGCCGAGAATGATCGACCCCGCTGGTGGTCCACGTCAGGGCGCAGCAGTGACAAGCTGGCCTGGGTTCAGGCCGCCAGTTCAGCACGGGCCGCCCCCCTGTGGTTTTTCCAGCGGGCTGATTTTGCTTGTCCTTCAGAAGGTCTTCGAGCACGTGCACCACGACGCGCTCGTGAAAACTGCTATGCAGCCGGGGTTTCCGCTCCGCCAGCTGAAGCTTCTCGTCGAGCTCCATCTGGCCCCGTGGATCCTCTCTCCTGGGGGCGTCGTTTCCAGGCCTCTTGGGGCCGTCCAGGCCGTTTTGTCAATGTTTTGTCTGGATGTCATTTCGCCGCGCTCATGCTGCAGCTTGTGCTCATCGTCCCTGCTGACAAGGTTGTTGCGGTCTATCGGCATGTGAATCTCGGGCTCGTGGTTGATGATTTCGGGCCCACCGCGCTGGGCGCGAGCAAGATGTGGTCGAGGACCTCACTGGGACGACCGCCTTGCTCCACGCTGAGCTTCAGAACTTCAGAAGGTGCACTTGGTTGTTCACCGTCGCAAGAGTCGGGTCGTCGCGTCGCCCACGTCGGCCCGTGCCTAGCCAGTCCAGAGGCTTCGAAAGATGAATGTTCGAGGCGCTGGTAACGAGCTCAATATCGGCATCGATTTCTCTGCCGCTGCGCGTCGTTTGCGTGCAGCGCGTCAAGCTCGTAGAGCGCCAACTGTCGCTCGGGCTCGTAAGATCGCTTCGCTCGGCAAGCGTGCAAAACGTCGCCGGCTGCACAGCGCGGCGCAGGCTGCCGCCTTGGCCTCCCATAAGCACGGGTGCGCTGCGCACGCGCACGGCACAAACTGCGCGGAGCTGCGCGCTCCGCGCGCCATGCAAGCGCATGTTCCGGTTACCAGTGTAGCCGGTCGAAATCTCACGCTGCTTCTCATGATGTTCGAGCCGCCGCGATGCGATCCAGCTCTCGAGTCAAGCGTCGAGCCCTTGCGGACGCTCGCGGTGGCTGTGTGGGACTGTCTGCTTCCCGCCCGTCCGCTCGGGCAAGGAACAAGCGGCACGCGTGCCCTGTGCTCTTGCACCAAGGAGCTGCGAGGGACAGGAGGCCTTCGCCTCCTTCCTCCAGGAGCTTCTCCCTCTGTGGCCGGGGGGGAGGGAGGGCGAACGACAAAGGAACGAACGACGACGACGAACAAAAAGAAAGAGGTCCGAGCTCTAGAACACAGCTCCTCCTCCTCCTCCTCCTCCTCCTCCTCCTCCTCCTCCAACTCCTCCTCCCCTCCTCCTCCTCCTCCTCCTCCTCCTCCTCCTCCTCCTCCTCCTCCTCCTCCTCCTGTGCACGAGAACAGATCACGCTGCCTCTCAGTTCTCGGAACGCGGATCTCCCTTGGGGCGACGGTCGGAAGGCCCTTCCTTCGGCGGGCCCGCGCGGCCGCGGCGGCCTGCCGCGGGCTTTCCGGGGGTCCAGGGCCCCGCCCTCAGGCATTCCGCTCCTTGGGGGGCCTCCCTGTCCAGGAGGTGAGCATTTTTTATTCGGCGTTGCGACATTGGGCGGAAGGGGGGGGAGAGAGGGTGGGGGGTCTGGCTCCAGACCTCTGCTGAGTGCGACTGTTTGCAACGGTGCGCCCCATGGGGGGAGACTCCACCCGCTCGAAGCAGGCGCCAAAAAACAGCCAAGATCTACTCAGTGGAAGGGGGGGGAGGGAGTTGCGAGGGCCCGCGCCGATCGGCAAAACAATGAATAAAAAACGATCACGAGTTTGGTCCGAGAA